TCTCTTATGCATATATTGGCAACGTGTCCTACAAGCAGGACGTTGGCTGTCGTGGTTCTCTTGTTTTACTCGCAGCATGTTAGGTTTGTGTTGTGTCAGGGGTTGACGGTAGTTTTACGTAGAATTTAGATTATGGTTTGTCTGGGATGACTTGGATAGGGATGACCCTGCCTCAGGCAGAGGGGTCTGGACTAAATGACCTTTGTAGGTCCCTTCCAGCTCTAAGTGTCTATGATTCTATGACATTAAGTGTCTTTGAACTTGGTACAAGTCAGAAGAGCAAACAAGTTAAAAAAAAACCCTGAAGCACTCAACTCAGGTCCCTGCGTGCATTTCAATTGTATCTGTTTATATGCTGTAAAAAAAAATTAGTTTTTATTACAATAAGCACTGTAGCACTAACACACCTCTGGGGGAAAAATGTCATCCAGCATTTGGTAAGCTTGAATTTAAAGCATTTGTTAATGATGATGATATACAAGGAAGAACCAAATTTAACTCGCAATTCTCAGAGCAGGTATTTGCAGCTAGGGTGAAGGGGTTGTGGAAATCATCTTATGTAAACTGAGGATACTTGGTTGCAAGATCCAAGACAGAATGAGTATGGCATTTTAAAGCCATTTTCCTGCTCCCAATGATACTTTAAGAACATCTCCAGCACAGTACAAAGGGGTTTACAAAAGTTTAACAAAAGTCAAATTGCCTTCCACTTACAGGGAGTGGAGGGAAAGATACAGAGCTGTTGGGACCAAATTTACTGTTTTTAGTAAATCAGTTACTCAGAGACTGATCTCCCCTCAACATAAAATTGAGTAAACAAAAATGACATTTAAAAAAATGATTCATGACATTTTTCTCTAAATTTAATGACTTCAATGCCTTGCATTATTGCACTGGTTTAAATTAATACAATTTATGTATATTTTCTTTTCTTATTGATTAATATATATTAGTTAAAACGATTACTAAAACATGAAGAAGCTCACTTAGTTCTGATAGTATCCTGCCTTTCCACAGTTACATCCCTATGTAAGGAGAAAATGGCACCCTGTAGGAAGATCCCTGCGCATCCATGCAAAGGATCCCAGTTTCAGTGGAGCTTTGCAGAGATGCAAGGACCTGCTTGTGCTGTGTAACAGCAGGAGAACTGAGCTGTTTAATGACTGGTTAGCAGGCAAGGTGGGGGGCTTAAAAGTTGTATCACTTCCACTCTAGTGTATACTGCTTTTGTTAATTCTAATAGATTTTTGATCCTCCTAAACTGAGAGTCTAAAATGCCTGAAACCTCTATAATTATAGATAGCTAGAACAACTTAATAATAACACGAGAGAATAATTCTGTCATCTTTCAGGCTTTTTGTTATGTAAAGCAACAGTAAATACTCAGTAAAGCAGCTTCAAAACATTTTTTAGTATTGAGATAAAGAAATATATATCTAGAGAGAAACCATATCCCATTTGAGATTAAATAAAGTATCTTCATCTCCCCTACATTAAGGCTCCACCCATCCTGTTCTTACCGATTTCCTGTAATGACTGGCAGCATGTCAGAAGATGCATTTGATGTGGCTTGCGTTACTTTAAAGGTTACATTTCTCAAGTCCATTATTCCCAAACTCATGTCCTCCAGCATTGCCAGCTCTTCACCTAAATCAAAGAGAAAAGTGAATTGCAGTATTTTTGTGTACATACGTTTTTCCTCATCCATTCTCAGACACATACATGAACTGACTGAAGTTCACTGCTCTCACAAAGAAATTGTGTAGAGATAATTAGGAAGCCTGATCCTTTACCCAAGTCTCACATGAGCAGACCCTTGCATCCATGTTAAATCCCTTTAATATCAACAGGCCTCCTCCATAGGTGCAAAAGTCAGGCAATACGGATCTGATGGGAGGAGCAGGGTCTCTCCTGGTTTATGAGTTTTAGTAAGAACATCCACTATTTAATGCACTCAAGCCTGTCATCTTCAGGTATATTTTGTGTTCTTTTTCCAGTGATGATAACATTAGTAAATTTTTGAGAGGCCTGTCATGTCAAGTAGTTCAATAAACTACTTCTTCATACATTCAAAAAACATTGGTTATATATTATACTATATGGCAGGAATGAATACCAGATTAATTTAGAGGGTCACGCAACTACAGACATTCAGATGGTTGTGCTGAAACTTGAATGAAATTAATTTACTTGTAACACAATCTCTTCAGCCTCTCTTTCTATTATGTAGTTACGTAACCTCAAAGTAATTTAAATTGTATTTCGTTCAGGCAGTAGTTTCTAGCTTGTTTGTAATTTTATTATATTTTGCTTCAGAAAATAACAGGTATGATAAAATAACTACGGCTTTTTAGTACGGGAAGTCTGTTAAACAGAAGAAAAGAAAAGCTACTGTTTTACGAGCCAATTAAATACATAAATTTTTTCTGCATCAATTCTAGAATTTCTCTCTCTACTGAACTGCAAATGAATCCAAATTCAAGTAATTCATCTTGCACTTGAGCCCATTAAGCTAAATATGACAGTTCAGAAATAACATCACCCACAAGCCCAATGTGATTGCCTTTACCGTATGTGCTCAAAAGGCTCTCAAACTGTGCCAGAAGACCAATGGTATAGAGCTGTCTCAGGAATCCATCGTCATGCAGGCAGTTCCTCAGTTTGATAATAAAACCACAAATAAGAGCTGTCAGCTAGAGAAACAAGAAAGAAAGGAGTAAAATAAGTCAAGACAATGTGACAAATAAAAAAAAAAGAGGAAGCAACAGAGTACCTAAGGAGATGCTATACAATCTGTTAGACTAATACTCTTTAATGACACTTCCTTGCAGCTGAAGTGAAATATTACCAAAAAATTAGGAAATATTTTCTCCAATTTAAGGCAACACAAGGATTTTCCTGAAAGGTCTCTCTAAATGGGACTCTTACTGATTTCAGGTTTATTACTTTTCTTGACCTGATCAGTTGTTTATACCGTCTAAGATTTATCAAATATAAAATGCTTTGCTTGGAAGGAAGTTTTATTTACAGATATAAGAGGCATCCACAGAAATTTAAGTCCTGAATTTAGATTTTAATATTAATAAAACCCCCCACACATTTAAAATTGACATTTTAAAAAGTTTATAGAACATAATGTAGTAGAAGCAGCTGATATTCAGCATTTCTCAGTATCAGACCCTAATATAGCAGTGAAAACTTAACTTCTGAAAACAGTCATTTCCAAGGTGACTGACTTTAAAATGAACAGTTATGACTGGACTGCAAAATTAAACAGAAGGAAGTGAAGTTCAGTTTGTGATGAGATGATAACAGGTCTTGTGAAGAGCAGTTATGAGATATAAAAATACCCAAAATATTGATTTTGAACAAAATATTCTCTAAATTTGTCCTTACGAACATAAATACTTTAGGTAATCATTTCGCCCTGGGATAAGATGACTAAGGAAGGTGCGAGTTGTTTGAAATATTTAAACTAGATTGTGGATATCTTAACAAATAATTCATTAATCTGTGCACAAGGAGAACTAGAGCACAAAGATTTAAAATAAGAAGAAATTATGTAAGGTGAATTTGGGGGCATATTATTCTCCTGTGAGTACCAAGTTAACAACATGAGTTTCCAGACAAGCTGATATCAACTAGCACTGATGGGCTTAAGCAAAGACTACAGTAGGCATTGAGCTATGCTAGGTCTTGGGGTTACATATCAACCAAGGGCAAGCTGTTAGCCCTTCCTTGGCAAACCAGATGACCTTCAACATCAATTTTTATAGAAAGTAAGTTTTCATTCCAAATAAAAGATGATGGACCTTAATTGTAGCTAATCTACACCAAGACCCATCCTTCTGATCCTGAACCAGTCTGGCAATGCCCTCCTGAGTCAGCAGATCACATCTAGTACCTGTGTTGCAGTTGCTCAAACCATTGCCAAGCTGCATCAGAGAGAAAACTCAGTACTGTCAAGTTTTCAGTTCTATTAATCAAAGCCCGGTGGGCAGCAAAACAGCTGACAAGAATGATGTCACTTCCACTCTGCTGCCTTCTGAGAAAGCTGGAAGAGACAGGCAGTGAAGCTATTCAAAGCAAGAAGTGGTGCTGGAAAATGGGAACTTGAGGAGGAATGTCAAGGGGGAAGCAGAGTAGTGGAGACACAATAGTCAGGATGGTCAGAAGTGGGAGAAGAGAATGCAAGACTCTATTCAATTTGGAAGAAGCATCCTTGGAAGCTGGAGGTATGCAACACTTTTGAGTTTATCAGACTTCTAGTAGTTGGAACCTGACATGAAAGACTGAGCCCCCAACAGGTCCATTGATAGTACTTTAAAAGAAATCCCAACATCTGGAATTGGGAGCTAGATTTTTCTCCATGGAATTACCATTATGCTTTGTTGTTTCCCTTTTTCCCCACATCTTTCCTTTCATGCTCTGGTATCTGAAAGTGTTACTATAAGGTACTATTTCATGCTTACTATTAAGCAGCAAGCTTCTGACAGGGATAGGTCATCAGAAGCATATAACTCCAGTGCCCCGGAGTCTGTAGTGGGCAAAATTCAATAATGTCAATTATTTTTCTTTTTCCATAGACCTGTTTGTTTCATTGAACAGCCATTATTTTGCCTAGTTTGTCATAATTTTTTAAAACTATGAATATATATACATATATATACACACACAGCAGAAATGTGTCAGACTTCATTTTATTGCTTTGAACCCAAGTGCTACATTTTCCCCCTATGGCAGGGGTGTCAAGAAATGGCACATGGGCCGAATCTGGCCTATACAGCCATATCATCTGGCCTGCAGTGATGCCTGTAGGTCTCAAACTGGACCCACATGCTGCATGTGACATGCTAGTATGCACTGCACACAGCATGAGGCTAGCATATGCTGCACACAGCGCATGCTGCACATGGCTGGTCTGGGACATACACTGCATGCAGTGTCTGTGTTGGACCAGCCCTGCATACTGGATTTGGTGTGTGAGACTATCTATGGATCCAGTCTGGCCCACAGACCAGCCCTGTACCACACAGTTTGAAGCCCCTGCCCGACAGCTGTAAAAGAAAAGCACTAGACAGCAGTGGTTGTATTTGATTCGTACACTGTCATAATGATACTTAAAGAGTTTCATAATCAGTCCAACCAGGTTAACTCCCCACACTCTTTTGAAATCCATCACAAGTCCAACTGTAATCAGATCACACAACTTTCTTGCTTACAGTCTGGCAGAAGACAACATCCCTGCGATACTGAAGACTCAGGCACAGACCTATTGTAGGAGCACTATCTTGCATTAACAAAAAGACCATGGCTTTCTTTGCCTTGTCACTCATCATGGCTACACAGTCTGTGAGTGTTGTCAGCAAGGGATAAAGAGCCTCACTCCATTCACCTGATTGAAAAAAGAATAAACAGACATTATAATACTCTTCTTTTCAAAAAGTAGAGAAAAGTCCTAAAAATGTTCAGTTGCAACTTCAAGTAGAAGCTATAACTAGTGGTTAGCATATTCTAACAGCAGCTTATTTTTCCTGGGTCACCTATTTATTCTCAGTGCTGCTCATTTACTACTCTACAAATGAGCTTTAAAAGAGTTTTCATATTAGAAAAATAAAGACGGTTCTATGGTGTAAGGTGGCAGCTGGAAATGTTCCTGAGCATATTTGCCTATACAAATAGGTAGCAAAATAACTGCTTTGTAAAGCTCCAGGATATTAAAAACACCTTTCACAGTAATATACATATGCATATAAAGGGACAGAGAGCACAAAAATTAGCTGTAGAACAAACATATACAAAGCTAATGGATACTGAACTGTTCTGCTCCTTTCTGTCAATGCCACGTCTCCTAAATCTGTCGATCTACTTACCTCAGATACTTATGGTCTACATTAATTTATCATAAATAGTATCCAAGTACTTCACAATCTTTAATGCCTTTATCCACACAATACCTCTGAGAGACAGGGAATTGCTGCTATTCTTACTTTACAAATAGGAAACTAGAACAAACAAAGACTAAGCCCCAGATCCTCCTATTTAGGTGCTTACCTTTCATTGAAATCAATGGACCTGGACATAATTGACTTGTTAAAGGTCACCCAGGATACCTATGGCGGAGTTGGGAAGTACCAAGCCAAGGTTTCCAGAGCTCCCAACTCCACTATGCTTTCTCTCTAATGATACTCATTTACCTTAATAGATTCAATTAATTCAGTTTACGTTATGTTACTCCTATTTTTATCTACCTATATTAATCAGCCTCCAATTTTTTAAGATGACTTTCAGCATTCTGCTAAAAAAAAGTTACTTAGACACCATGTCACCACTTTTTCCCTGTAGTATAAGAGAAGGTATTTAGCTACTGGTCTTTAAAAAAATAGAAATTTAAAAAGGGAAGAAACTATTGCATCACTTTTATTTTTAAAATGCAGTACAGCCCAAAAATGGAAGTCACACCACTACCAAACTAACTGGCCGTACCATACAACGTGAAGCATAGATCACATTTATGCAAGAACAGGGTCACATCAGGCCTTGGACAGGAAGCTGTTTATGACTTTTATTGAAGTGTACAGCTAAGAGCCAATGACAACAAAAGTTTCCTTGATAACCATCCAAAGAGGGAGGTTACGGAAACTTGCTAACAGAAACATCACAAATAACAAAATCCAGCAGTACTGTGATTTAAAACTTTGCCCTGTGCACTAGACAGATAATCTAATGGACTGAGTGAGGGGAAGTTATCTGGCTCTGTTTCACTGCCATATGCTAATAGCAGGAAGTCTCAGAAGAGCAAACTGAAGGAATTATAGCTTGCCTTTATTTCAGAGAAGCTAAAAAAATGAGTATAATCAGAACCCAAAATACTCAGAACCTGTATCTGAAAGCCTTCAGAAAGAAAAATAGAGGGGGTTTTAAGGAAACATTTATCTTTCTTTACTTTAAAGATATTTATATAAAGGAATGAGAATGACAAAGAACTAAAAATATCTTCTTGAATGTTATCATCCTAAAACACAGAGAAACATATAAGTTTTTAAAAGTAATCTGAGGAATTAAAACTCAAAATTCTGTGCGCGCCAGTGAAGTCATTTTAAGTGTAATTGATTAAATCACAAAGTAAACTAGTAACATTACAAAACCGGAACCCATTAATATAATGCAATTATTGGATACTTTTTGCCTGGGTTCAACTGAAATGTAAAGTGAACTCGCATGGCTCCACTGTAACACTGAACTAAAATTCCCTGTATTGGCATAGTGTATTGGCTTAGAATATAGGTAATAAAAATAAAATCTTTTAATTCATAGCATGACATCACATTCTCCTTAATTTCAAAGGCGCGATACCATGTACATAAATTTATAAAAACCTGACAGGAGCAGAAACTGATTATAATCAAAGAGAAATGGGATAATAAGTAACAGACTCACAATCGGAAGTGAACGGTCTATTGACAGCACCAGACCAAGACTTAGGCAGTTTTTCACTTCTTCTTTTGTCCTTATTAATTTTCTTACTAGAATTTTGCCATATATTCTATATAACAAATGAAACACATTTTGAAGCTCTCTGTGCTAATTCTATTTTGACAATATGATCCACTTTGAAGGTTATTCTTATGTTTTATGAAATTATTGAAACACTTGAATAAAATTACAGACCCTATACATGGCAGATCCAGAGCTAGAGTTCATTGGCACTGCTCCACAGAGTCAATGATAGCTTTGAAGTCAATGGGGTTTTGATGACTGAGAAGAGCTGAGGATTTGGTTTTAAAATTGAAACTTGCATTTGGATTTATTTGTATATTAAATACTTGTATTTATCAGAGTTTCTAGCTTATGAAAAATTGCTTCCGACAGAGAGGACAGGTATCACAGCTCAAGAAGAATTTTCTTATTGGAAGTATGGGGTCTTAGAGAAGCATGTTATATGCTGATGGACAAATCCTGCAGTCCTCAATCAAAGACATTTCCTGCTGAAGTCAATGCAATCACTGGCAGAAGATGGCAGGATTTGTCTTGAGGTCTTCTCTGTTCTTGCTACTTCTATTGGGAAACCAGAAGGAAGGCCTGAATAGAAGAGTTTGGAAATACGCTGTCCTTCCTGCAAGTAGCAGCCTCCAGAAATGATGAGACAAAAAGAAAGTAGATAAGGCAGAAAAATGTCTGCATAAGGGAGGGAAAAAAAGCTTCTATGGCTGCCTATCTATGCATCTGGGACACATATCATAGAAATAAGAAAAAAAATAAGACATATAGTGGACTCTCAGGCTATGCAGCTCTTCAAGACGAGGAGAAAGGACTACAGTAGGATGGTCCCATTGCTCATGGTATGGTAAAGTTTATATGAATTAATGGACATATGAGTTTTCCTTTAAAGCATTTTATTTTTCCAGAGTAATTAAAAATGAATATTGTAATAACATCTCTCCGGCTTCAATAAGGCATGTGAAGTCCTTTAAAGGAAAAAAAAATTACAACTGCTTTACAGTCCAGAACAGTAAGCAGTAGACTGAAAGAAAGAGACCTGGAATGTAAAAAAAAAATCCAGGAGCCTGAAGTCAAAAAATAAAAGTGCTGAGTACCTGCTGCTGCTGGTTCCACTTTGGCAAGAGCTTCAGGTGTGTAGCACCCCTGAGTGTTAGACTATTTATTTAGATGTTGAAATAAGTATTTAGCTCCTGATTCAGCAAAAGCATTTGCTTAATTTCATACATATTCAATGGCATGCTTGAGCACACAGTCAGATCAAACAAACTTCAAAGACAATTAAATGCATATTGTGCTAAAGAAGATACGTGCCTTAGCCACGTATCTTTAGGCACTCAGGTTTAAATGCATTTGTCCCAACTGATTTGTTTCTATTTACTCATCTGTAAAATGTAGTAACACCTTCCTACATTAGTTTATGAGAATTCATGTTTGTATTGCACTTTAAAAATGAAAATCATTGTGTAGACCTACCTACTGGAGAGAATGAAGGCATACATACACAGAGGACAAAGGAGAGAAAATTTTTGACATCCTACTAGCGGGGTGGAGAGATCAGCATTAAGAGCATGATCCCTTGACAATTTTATTCATCCCAAGAGAATTTTAAGTTGGCTTAGTTAGAAATGAAATCTTTATCACCCAAAACTGATCTCAAATGAGACAAAATATACACAGTTGTCTAAGTGGGACAAAGATGTGTAAGATTTATACTTGGTGACTATCCTGTGAGTCTGTGATGTTATAAAGTAAGAGAAGAAGAGGCTGACATTATGATTCAACTATTTCAAATCTTTTATTTGGAAAGTTAGGTTTATAGTGCCCTACACTGCTGTTATACACCCACAAATGGCCTCTCCATTAGCCATTCTGGTTGCTTCACTTCCAAATGCTCATGCAGAATTCTAAGCATAGCACCTAATATGAAAAAGGCACAATCCCACTAAAATCAGTAATCAGATCCCCAGTGACTTCAATGGCATTTGAAAAAAGTCCTAAACTTTCACATCTCAGCTCACTAAAACTTGTCAACTGGAGAACATCACAGAATATTTCCTTACATCTCAACATGTAAAGCTAGCACTATTTACAGTGAACCTGTCCCATTTCAACATAGGAAACAATGACTCTGAATTCCAGGGTAAGATGCTATGTATGTATACAAGTTAACTGGTACAGTGGAAGACATCATTCCAATGCAACGTCAGATAACCCATCGGCAAAACACTTGTTCAATTATTGAATACAAACAGAAATTGCAATTTTCAGAAGCGGAAGCCATGAATGGAAAACGCACATACCTGGGCTGGACTCTTCAGGAGGGGGGCTGCAATCTGCACAGAAATGGAGGTGCAACATGCATGATTAAGGAGCAGCAACACAGTATAAACATAAGCAACTCAAATGCTTACTGCAGTGGTTCTCAAACACTTTGACAAAGTGGACCATAACAGAGGTAATGCCTCATGGACTGTCTCTCCTCCTGCTGCCAATTGTGTGGACCACCTCCTATACTACTCAAGATCACAAAACCTCTACCTCGTAACTAAAGCCATCACTTACATGGGAAAACAATACTGAGAACATTTTAGCTGTTTTTAAAAGTGACATGACAATTGAGAGCAGGGAAGAGCCAATATCATGTGACCAGCAGGCATTCTGTAGACCACTTGCAATCCATAGAGCACAGTTGGAGAACCTCTGCCTTAGTGCAACTGTAGAATAAGCTTGCAATAAAGGCAGCTAAACAGAATAGCAAAAGACTAGCAAGAAGTGTAACATACCAGAGCATTTAACAGAAAGTGACATTAATGCACTCAGATTGCAAGGATTAGAATCAACGCACTGCTAATTTAGAAATGTTTAGTTCCTTGCACATTTTACAAGCCAGTTCATACTACAAATTAGGTGTATGCTAAAGACCAAAACCTCCCCACTGAAGCTTCTGAGAACTTTGCCATTGACTTCACTGGGAGGATTGGGCCCTCAACAACAACATATTGTGCAATGTGTGTAGTACAAGGTTACCGAACACAGTTACAATATGTTGTGCAATAATGAATGGCAGCTTATTAGATTAATAAGACTGAACATTATGCTGTGTTCATGTCAAGATTTATTGGTCAAGGAAATACACAACTTCTACAAGAAAACATCAATTCAAAAACACATGAGGACTAACATCTGACCTGGAAGAATTGCTCAGAATAATATAAAACTTCCTAGCATCCAGTTTGGAAATTTATATATTATACATATTATATGACTACAGACTATATATATATATATAGATAGATAGATAGATAGATAGATAGATATAGATATATAGATAACATTTTAAAAACATAGTTTTTAGGCTGTCTGATAAGTTTTTCACTGTGTCAGAAAACATCTCCCCTTCAGAACAATTTGACTGTAAAACAACATGGGAAAGCATTTCAATAGAACATCACTATACCAATTTTAACAAGTATGGAACTGCATAACTCTTTCGTTAAAGTTCCTTTAACTAACTTCATCAAACTCTGATCAATGGCCACTTATTAAACACACTAAGAGTTGCTTTGCTCCCTGACAGGTACTTGTGAAAATTTGGTATATCTGCTCTGAATATCACCAGAGGAAGAACTTCAAAGGGGCATGGTCTTAAGCCTTGAGATCAGGCCTTTCTCTGGACCTCAGAACCATTAGTTGTCAACAGCTTCTAATGACAAGGAAAAGGGAAGAAGCAGCCAGGGGTGGATAAGATGTAGAGGCCATGGGTGAAAGCTAGGCCCCAGTGAAGATAATGGCAAAATTCCCACCACCTTCAACAAGGCCAGGATGTTATCCAATATTTGGACTTCCTCCCTAACAGCAATGCTAGGTGCCAAACCTAATCCCATCAAACAGAACGGGAACAAGCAACTGATTCTGAGAGGTACTTGGTTTATGTTGGCTTCCAATTAATTTCTGAGGGCAATCCAAATGCAGGTTCAGGCCCCAGAAGCCCTGGGAATGCTTGCCCAGGTCCTCCCATTTGCAGACATGTGCCCCAAGTCAGAATCTCTGGGCTCACCTCTGCAAGTGAGAAACCCTAGGTCTCCTTGCTTGCAGAGGTGCACCCTGAGTGTTGTCCCCCAGGATTAGGCCCCTGCCACTCCTGAGCGGGTGTAGCTGGGGCCCAATTCTGTGTCTACGCACAGCTGATCCACTTCATTTGGTGACATCTGTTTATAGCCTAGGGCTCATTTTCATATGAAATAAATGTTAAGATCCTGAGTATAGCGAACACTCTATTTAAAAGCTGCAGGCTTGACTTTAAATAAAAAAGCTGCTCTAAAATGTTTTAACGTAAAATTGTCTTGTTGGGCAGGAGTTGTGATGGCATCCTCCCCACAGCTGCTCCAGTTTCTCCCTACAGCTTTTAATTAAAAATTCAATCTTGTATCAGAAGAATTCAGATTTGGTGTGTGGACCAACAGAATATACTGCTCTCACATGGTGTTACTGTAGCTAACTCTAAAACAGTGCAACACATTCCTATTAACATAGCTACTATTTAACACATATACTAAAGACTCCACGTTCCAGTCCTTTTACAACATATAATTCAACCGTATGGGAAGCCAAATTACGATAAGTATTGTTTTTATACTAATATTATATTCTTATACTAAATAAAATTCAACCACTACTAAGTAATCCACAAGTGTACTTAGTTATCTTCTCTAGTAAAACACAGTTTTTAAACATATTTACAATTTACATTTAATCCACAGATATTAAGTTTATATATTTTCAGACCTTCCCTTCATATAAATAATGCAAATGAATATCAGCTTTTGCAACTGTTGTTTTGAGGCAGGCTGTGTCTGATCATAAAGATCAACAAAGTTAATATTCTGAAACGCTCATCATATGATGTCTTAAATGTCAGGATGTTCTAGGGAAAATACAGAATATTTAGCAAATCAGATATAAAAAGACAAACAAATCTATACTAAATGATGTTAAAATGTTCAACAATGGAATGAATGTGAAGTCACACACAAATACTGGAAGGAAGAGCTAAGAAATAATAGAATAGAATATGAACCATGGAAGTAAAGACCCAAATCACCTTTTGTAAGGCTAAATACTGCATAATCTCTTACATGAAGTGATAATCACGAAAACAGGTATTTTTAAAGGGAAAGAGAAAGTAAGCCATACACACAAAAACAAAGCCATTTCAAAATTTCATGCAAGCTAGAAAATTTGTGAACATAAAATGGAACTTCAGAGTAGGAATGGTTGGCTAAGTCTCCGAGGAGCAGGGCCAGGGGGGTGGGCGAGGCCTGCAGTTGGCCTCACCCCCCCACTACTTCCCCTTCATCCCCACAGTCATGGCAGTGCATCGCACTCTGATTGGTTGTTTCACTAACCAACTGGAGTGATCCAAGAGCATTATGGACAGACAGACAGACAGACGGGCTAAGCCCTTTATTATATAAGAATTATAGTATAAAACAATTTTGCCCCCATTTTTTGTATTCAGTTTATAGTTACTCTGCCACATGAATGGACTGCAACGTTTCTTTCCAAACTCAAAATTGCAACTCAAGGCCTGATCCAACTCCCGCTGAACTCAGTGAAAAGTCTCCCAGGGGAGCTGGACTAGACCATATAATGAGTAAGGAAGAAAAGAAGGTGCAGCGAAGTCTCTCTCTTACTGATGCTTCTGCATGGGAAGCAACCGAGGTCATGCCGAGGACAGCAAGGGTACTGTTAGCACTTCTGATAACACTGACAGCCTACAGGGTTAAGTACACATTGGGTTAGCCATGGCCTTGGAGAACTGTATGCCTAGATGAACAAGGAAGAGCTAACGGTTCACCTTTTCAATCAGTGCTGCAACGGCTGCTGCTGTTTGTGTGCTGCCCCTCCCTCACCCACAGTGCCACTGAAGGCATTTTTCTTGTTCTTGTGCTATGAGTAAACAGGCTCAAGAAAATTACAGCCAAAATGATCCAACAAAGATTCCTACATGTAAGCGCCTACATCCATACTAGAACAGCTAAGCCTGTGGACAACATGGCATGATAATTACAGTTCATGAATTTACCTTGGATTTAACTCAGTAATACATTTATTCCATAGAAAACAGACACATGACCAGCTCACTAAAGCTGGCCTTGCAGTAGGTGCTATTATAGAACCTGGCCACTAAGGGTTGGGAACCTGATTTGCACTGAGCAAATGGTTACACGGCAAGGAACTTGCAAGAGGAACACATAAGTGACTGGTACTTTGGTGTAATGAATTCTGGTGTGTAGCTATTCTTTACTTCCTGAGGGTAACTTATACTGGCAGGAGGCATGCATCACATCTGCTGTGTGCCCACACTCCAAATCAGAGCAACTTGAATTTCCAAAGGGGCTAAGCACCCACCTTGACTGAAATGAGAAACACAAGTTTGGCACTTCTGAAATCTAGACTTTGATAGGTGTCTATCTGTAGATTTAACTATCTCAGTTGAGGTATCCAGGTTTGAATTAATGGGCATGTCTACATAAGATGTTTACTGTAAAGCTGCTTAATTAGCTCTGCAGTAAAACATCACCATCTACACATGTGGTGCTATTAGGATGGAGTAAACTAATTAACTTTGCCACAGGACAATACTTGTACTTACAAGTACTATCCTGCAGTGAAGTTCTTTACTCCACAGCAATGCATGTGTAGATGTTAACGGAGCTG